CAAAGAACTTCCTTAGTCTCTTGACATCGACTGGCACTGGCCAGTCGGTGATCGCCTTGATCTTCTCGGGATCGGGGCGTACGCTGTGTTTACCCACGATGCACCCAAGAAGTGGTATTTCGCTAGTTGCTACTGTACACTTCTTGAGGTTGGCGTACAACTTATGCTTGCGCATAAGTTGAAGGACTTGACGAACGTGAGTTCTATGGACTTCGACGTCTGTCTTACCGTCCATATCCCGGCTATGGACGAACACATCGTCGAAGTAACTCGGTGCGAAGTCTCGCACCGGTCTCAACAGATTTGTAACACATCTTTTGAAAGCAGCAGGGGCATTTCTCAGCCCCTATGGCATCACCAGCCACTCCCACAACGTACCGCTTGGGGTGCTCACTGCTGTGTACGGGATGTCCCGTTCACGCATGAGGATCTGATAGAATCCATCCATCATATCCATGGACGAAAAGATGGTACTCTTTAACATACCATCTATGATGACGTCCTTTCTCGGTATCGGCGTCTGAGCCGGTACCGTTGCAGCATTCAACTTGTTGAACGCGTGCACTATCCGCCATCCTCCTGTGGCCTTTCGCGCACAGAAGGTCGGAGAGCTGTGAGGGGATGTTGATTGCCTCACATGGCCCGCTGCTAAGCGATCGGCAAAGAAATTGTCGATCGCTAGTACTTGTTCACGAGGCAGTGGCCACTGCTTCATGACACAATACTTCGAGCCCGGTCTGAGCTCGATCTCGTGTAGATTGCCTTTGTCCTTAGGCAACTCTCACGGTACGGATTCAGGGAACACATCCCTGAATTCGATCAAATCCTTATACAAAGGATTTTCCTGAAGTGACTCCCCGGATTGAGACGCGTATCGCTCAATCCGATTCTTCTCATCGAGGACACTTTCGTCCATCGATGAGCTGCTGAGAACCCGTTCGTTCTCAGCAAATACTGTTGCCGACCGAATATCGGCCACATACTCATCCTCTGTGACGAGTATGCAGATCTGCTTGACTTTACCACTACGCAGATCACGCAAGAACCGTTTCGGTTCTAGCGTTGGCAACTGAGTTATCTCCGAAGTTAACTTCGGAGGCACAATCATATCAAGCGTATAAGCGCCTACGCTTTATCCGTCATTAACCAAGACGTTCGACGTCTCGGTTACTTCCTGGGAACTTCTTTCCACAGGTTGCTGAGGTCCTGATCCCTCAGCAAGTGACTCTTGAGGAATTCCTTCCTCAAGTACGTGGGAACTTATTCCCTCGACGTCTTCTGACTGTGGCTGTGCAACCACATTCAGATACCGATCCTCTACGGTCGACTCTCCAGTCGACCTAGGATGTCCATGTTGCCCTTTGGGGGCAACAGGTTTCTTCTGTCTAAGATGCTGCCCGCTAGGCATGCATCCATGTCCCGGTCCACCCGACTTATTCGAGTGGTGGACCTTCGGCGCAGCCTGTGCTTCTATACAGCCGCCGGAAGTTTGCTCCACAGTGTAGTGATCAACTACACTGTGATCTTGTGCAGTCGTGCTAACGACCGAACCGCAAGTGAGGCCATCGCACTCACTCGCAAAACTTCCACACGCTTGTGGACGCTCCAAGATGTTCATCAGATGGCCATCTGATGAACAAGCGGCAGGCATCTTCACGGATCGATGCTGCCAGCTCACCCTTGGCTCGTACCTTCTGAGCCAAGGTAACCCTAAGATGACATCAAATTTGTCATCCAGATCCAGTACGATGAAGCAATCATCGCACTGTTCGCCCTCTAACGTGTAGTGAATTCCTACTACACGTTTCTCAACGGTAATCGATGCGCCTGTTGCAAGGCGCACCGTCATCCTCGTGAGGGGAATGTCGCGCTCAACGAACTTGAGCCTACGACCCTCTAGTGACTGGCGTCGAACAAATTTGTTCGACGCCCCACAGTCTACTGGGGCACGAAGCGACAAATCATTTGTCGCTTCCAACTTCAAGGTGATGAGCGAAACGTCATCACCAGGTGCAGAGACACACAATGATTGTGTATCTGGAGCAACTTTCGTCAACAGATTTGAAAATTCTCTTGAGGTTGCTGGATCAGTAGGGCGCTCCGCCCCTACTGACCCCGTCCATCTTTTGATGGTCCGTCTCGCTGTTGCGGCTTCGCAACAGCGCTGAACCCACGCCCATTGCCCTTCTTGGCGAATGGTCGTCCATTTCGCTCAGTACTGTTTGGTACTGGGCGTGGAGCACTACACTCATATGCGTAGTGCCCTAACTTCTGACAGCGATTGCACCTCTGCAATCGCTTGTTGTTTGAAGAGCGAGGTCTCTCGTTCTCAACATAGCAGAGGTCCATTGGTTCTGGACCTCCGATCTCTTGTCGTCTCGGTGGACGGTAAGAGTTTGAGCTAGCATGAGCCTGTCTCATGCTAAAGTCTTCCTGTTCCGCGGCTGATATCGCTTCTTCAAGCGTATTCAGCTCAAGGCGGAACAGGTGGCTCCTGACGGGCCCTTCTGCGAGCCCTTGCATGAACACCGTAATCAACGTGTGTTCATGAACTGGGTTGGCAGTTATACTACTCGCTAGGAGTCGTATATGTTGTGCGTAAGCGCGCACATCACGCTTACCCTGTTTGAGATCAGGAGCTCAGAACGAGCCCTGAACTCAGCTCGTGGCGGCTCAAACGTTTGACTGAGCCGAGACTTGAAGTCATCTAGCGACCTAAACACATGCGGGTCGCTACTCTCGAGTCCCAGGGACCAAGTTTTGGCACGCCCTGCCAAGTGGGTCTGATCAAATGTGAGTTTCATTTGCTCATCTTCGACGCGACGAGCCCTTAAGGCTCTGTCGAGTTCGACAAACCATAGTAACAGGGAGTTCTCCGGGACTCCACTGTACTTGGAGATGTCAACCTTCATGACCTCGGGACGACGCGCATGCGCCGTTCCGCCCACAGCAGCATGGAATTGCTGCTGTCTCAACAGCTCTGTCTGTTGAGAACCGAGTTCTCTCAACTGCTCGGCCTGTTGAGAGCCTTGCTGGTGAAGCAAGGCTACTTTCTCCCTTTCGGCGACAAGTTCATTTTGGATGAACTTGGCTATAGCGGCATGTTGTTGGTCTCTGTCTAGAGACTCCAACATGGCGCTAATGGCGAACTCGCCTACGGTAGAACTCACTCGTTCTACCGCACTCCATTCGATGTCACTCAAATTGGTAAACCCTTCACGCGTGGCGTGAAAGGTCTCTTCATCATCCAACATGTTCATGTTGGATGTTGTGGTCCTTGGAAGGACTACAAAGTGCTACCAGGTGTAACGGGGCACACCCTTGCGTGAATTTAACGCAAGGGTATCGTGCCCCGACAAGCGTACACGAGGCAAACGAGGAAGCGTAGATAAGGGAAAAGTAAAACTGTTGTATTAATATAATTAAGTCTAACCACTGTCTCTTTGTTTGACTTAACTTAATTATGCTAATATAACTGAATGTATGACGACGTCTACTCACCACTCATTGCGCGCGTCTTGCGGCGATTGGTGGGTTGATATCATCAAGATATCAACCAATGAGCAGACTCTTTGGTCGACCCATCAATATCACCACTATTGGTGACATTGTTAAAAGAATATTCAACATAATTTTCTTTATTGTCATTATCTCTCAAATGACAATTTCCATGTAACGGGCTGCCCCGTTACAGCAACTTTGAATCCACTGCGTTGCGGACTTGCACTATTCACTCGACAAATGGAGCACAACTCACTCGCTCTTGTTCTGCCCGAGAGATCCATCGTCGTTTTAGCAGGACATAATCATCCTGCAGCCCTACACGTTCATTGCTCGGCGGGCAATGACTGAAGTCAGTCAGAAGAGGTTCGCTTGACGTGACTAAATGCCGTGCGCTTTGTAACCGCTTTTCTGCTTTTTTTGTCACTTTCTGTGAGTACTGCAGACCTCACAAGTTATACATTGTGCTCTTCTCTGCTGATGCTCTTCTTTGCTGACGCTCTTCTTCTTTTCTATTCCGACCCAGAGGTTATTCCAACGCACGCTGTGGCGATAATTTGCCGGTTCATTGCCATCTGGCAGCGTCGTGTAGACCTCAGACATCACTCACAAATAAACTGCCCAACAATGGCTTTGTCAGAAGCCATCTGCTGCCACAGACAGTCTTCGGCTGCAATGCATGGTAACATGTCCTTGACAATGACATGGAGAGGTGATGCAGGGTTGCCACAACCACGACGCTCTTCTCGAGCTTTCCCAAGTGCTATCGATCCAGCACCTCCCAAGCCGCCCTAGCACGACCTGCCGCAAGGATTATCGAGTGTGATATAAGTGGCAGATTGCCAATCAGCTACAACGGGTCAAACTCATGTTCACTCTCTTCGAAGCGTTCGGTCCTCTCCATTCGTCAGCTTTGACTGCAAATATTCATGTCAAACGAAGCAGCACATGTATCTATCCGCACATGCGGTTACTAAGCGCTACTTCCTACTGCCGTCCGATCATTATGAAGCACGTGGCGATGAGAGTGACCGAAGGCTCGAAAGTCTGCGTCAGCCCATTAACGCCACGACATACAGCACCAGCAAAAAGCACAACAAGGCCCCATTTCCAGAAGATAAAATGGGCTACGATTCTGAACACGCCGTGGTCGCTTCACCCGCAAGTGTGACGTGAAGTGGGTCGCATCCTTCAGGGGCACCACCCCATCCACCATCCCCCCCACAAACCCACAAACCCACAAACCTGCAAACCCGCAAACCCACCTCTCGTCGCCCCTTGTTCCAAAACACGGTGCAGTCCCCAACCGCCTCCTCGGCCAAGCTCTCGCCCCCCCCCCTCGCCCGCCCCGCCCCGCCTCGTCATCCCCCACGCCCCCACCCCTCGCTCTCTCACTCGACCGCTCAGTGGCCAATAATCGCGCCCCCGCCCCCGCCGCCTCTCAGTGGCCAATAAGAACCGCTTCCCCACCGCCACCCGTGCCGTCGTCGCCGTCCATCATGTCCGAGATGCCCGCGAGCTCCGCCGCCCCGGCGCCCCACGACGACGCGCCGCCGTCGCCGCGCACCGTCGGCAACACGTTCATGCGGCAGTACTACCACTTCCTGGCCAAGGACCCGCAGAGCCTCCACCGCTTCTACAAGACCGAGAGCCGCTGGTGCCACGGCGTGGGCTCGCACATGGAGGAGCCCATTGCCGGCCAGCGCGCGATCAACGACGCGATCTTGCAACGCGGCTACGCGGGCGCGCGCGTGGAGCTCGACGCGGGCTCGATCGACTGCCAGCAGTCGCTCCAGGGCGGCGTGTTCGTGCTGGTCACGGGCGTCATGACGCTGCGGGGCGCGGCGGCGCGGCCCAAGCCGTTCGTCCAGACGTTCTTCTTGGCCGTGCAGCCCAAGGGGTACTTTGTGCTGAACGACTGTCTGCGGTTCTTGGAGCTGCCGCGGGCAGAGGGCGAGTTGAAGGAGGAGCAGGTGCTGGACACGGGGAGAGGACGGGGCGAGCAGGAGGTCAAGGCACGCGAGTCGACGAAGAAGGTGGACGAGGCAGAGGGCAGTGCTGCTACTATTGGTGCTACTGCCGCTGCTGGTGCTGGTGCTGGTGCTGAGGTGTCGAAGACTGTGGAGACTGAGGTGGTGGAGGAGCTCGTGGCTGAAGGAGGAGTCGAGGGCGAGACGGTGACGTTGCTGGAGAAGACGACACAGGAGACGGCGAGTGGCGCTGTTACGACAGTGAACAAGGAAGTGGTGGTCGAGACCACGTCGGCCGCACCGGTGTCGTCGACGTCGTCGTCGTCGTCGGGTTCTGCTACTGGCAAGACGACGACCGTGACGACAACGACGACGACGACCGTGACGTCAACGAAGGCGCCAGAGGGAGACGTGGCGCCTGCTGCTGTCAAGACGCTGTCGCCGGTCAAGGCGTGTGCGACTACGACACAGGAAGGGAAGGTAGCGACTGCTCCGGCGGATCCAGTGGTGCCAGCTCCCGCTGAGCCAGAGAAGCCCAAGACATGGGCAGCGCTCTTCTCGGCGTCGACGCCAGTTGCGACGGGGCCACCACCGGCTGCTGTGGTGCCACAAGCTGCGGCTCCAGTGAAGCCTGTGAGCACGAAGGACGTTGCTACCCCGTCGGCGTCCCCGGCTCCTACTGCGGCACCTCCTTCGTCTGGTGGTCTAGCGCCCGAGAGGTCGCCGAAGAGCAAGCCGAGCAAGGACAAGGAACAGAAGCGGCTGTACAGTCTGTTCATTCGCGACCTGCCACCTCAGATGCGTGACAGTGACCTCCGTGACCTGTTCAAGGGATACGGCTCGATCGCGGGTGTGAACGTTGTGGCTCAGCGCAACTTTGCATTTGTGGACTACTACGAGCAGGAGAGCATGCGTGCGGCTCTGGCCGAGACAAAAGAGTTCAAGGTGCTGGACAAAGTGCTGCAGGTGTCGGAGCGCGGCGACCGCAAAGATGCCCCGCGCAGTGGTTTCCGCGGCAACGACTCGCGCGGTCGCGGTCGTGGGCATGGCCCCAAGAGCGGCCGTGGTGGTGACCGTAAGGAGCGCAGCGGCGATGACGCTCCTCCTTTCAGCAAGGGCGAGCGACGTGAGGGCCCGCGACGTGAGAAGACGGGCAACCGCCGTGGTGGTAAGGTGGATGCTACGTCGCACAATCGAGCGGAGTAGACGGCGGTATAATACGTGGGGCTGTCGACTTGATGGAGACTGGTGGTGAAGGCACGGATCACCAGAGCTCAGCTCAGACGCTGGTAGCATTTGGGTCGGCGGCAGTGGAGGAGATAGAAGGAGAGCGTGTCACACCAGCCACTTCCTGTAATGACCGGGTGTGCTTTCTCCTTCTCGTGCGTGGCGGCGGGCAATGCACAGGCGGAAACACACACACACAGAGATACAACAGAGCGGAGAACAGGAGTTGCGAAGGAGGAGGCGCAGTCGCGACGCGACTCGTTCTCAGCTCGATAGGGTAGAGCAGCAAGCAGAGGGTTGAGTTGGCTAACAGAAATAACCCATCCAATGTCCGCTGAGTCACTGACTGCTGTGCTTTGGCATCGATGTCGACTTGCTGGACAACCTTCGGCATGTAGCACTGCAACACTGGTTGTACGTACAACACCTTTACAGACTTAGTCGCATCGAGTATCGATCCAATCCATGTTGTGTTAGCCTTCGTTTAGCTTGGACGTACTCGCACACCTGCCTGTCGGTTTTCGGACTACATGCCCTCTTTGCATGGCTACCCGTGTACATTCGCACCAGATCCGTGGAGCGATCTCAGTGTCCGATCACGATACCGCGACAGCAGACCGCGCGACTTACTGCGCTACCTGTGCCTCCTTTAGTACACGAAGTGCCTTCTTTGTGTCGCCCTTCTTCAGCAGTACATACACTAACAGCTCGAGCGACTCGCGGCAACTCGGGTTTTCCCTCACGGCCCGCGTTACGCTTTCCTCTGCTTCTGAGTTGCGACCCTGCAGCAACAGCGCAGTTGCGTTATTCACATGGACACCAGCTCGAGCTCGTGACACCTGCATCAACGAACGCGCATGATACCCAGCACAGCAGTCAGTCAGTCTTACAGCACAAACACACAGTTTCAACACAACCCGTTTTCGACTGACCTGGATTTTGGCTTCTCGTGCATACTCTTCGGCCATGGCAATCAAGTCTCGCTCTGACTGCAAGGTGTCCGTCGCCTCAGATGCTCGAGACAGCATACACAGAGCCTCTGCAGTGTACGAACGCGCCAAGAAGCAATTTGCCTTCGAGCAAGCAGGCAGCGCCAGCAACTCTTTCGCACTTGCAATGGCAAGCTGAGGTTCGTACATCGACAGGTAGACATACGACAGGTTAACAAGCGCTTTCTGGCGAAGCACGTTGAGAGCCTCTGCGTCGAGAGTGTCGCTATCTGGTCCGTCAGCACCACCCACTGGGGTGGTGGTGTTCCCGTTCACGCTTCTGGAATCCAAAAGTTGGTTGCAGAGCAAGACCACATTCTTAAAGCACTTCGCACCGAACGGGAGACTCATCGTAGCTGAGCCATCCGCATCATTAGCATCAGCCGACGCCGCGCGAGGCCCACTGCCGTTGCCGTTCATTTCAGCAAGCTTGATGTCCTGTGATGCCGCAGACGGCAAACTAGTGGGCAGCAGAACGCGGCGATGTGAACCGGTGCCCACGATACCCTGGATCAAACCACTTGTGTTCCCGGCTACAGCTGCCAGTTTCTGCTCCTTCGCAAATGCCGCAGTACAGCACTCACCGAGGCGGAGCCACAGCTTGGGCCGGTTGAAGAACAGCCGCGACGACTCGTGGAAGCACCGGAATGCCAGCGCAAACTCGCCTTGCAGCAACAGGTGCAGGCCATTATTGTACATGATTTCGTATTGGCACGAACTCGCAATGACGACTGCATCCATCTTCGTAGCTTTTGTTGTCGCTTGCAGTGCTCGGGCGAAATATGACTGCGCAGCCTTTCGCTGCCCCATTTGAAAGTGGATGCAGCCCATGTTATTCAGCAACACACTCTGCACACAAGCACGAGCACAAAGTCACGATCGCAACGCATCAGACCCATTGTCCACCCACGACTCAAGCGAATGCGACGTACCTCACTAACGGCCTCCTGTGTACACGATGCAAGAAGCTTTATACATTTCTTGTAGTTCTTCTTTAAATATTCCAGATTTGCCTTCAAAAACAGTGCTGTAGAGTTCTGCACGACGAGGCGCGGATGCCCGATAGCGGCGCTCGTCTTTTCCGACTCCAGAGCAAGCAGAGATGACGGTGTCGCGGCAGCATCTCCCCTGTCATACGTCTTGATTTCCTTCTGGAAGATTTCCAGTGCAGACTTCACTTCCTTCTTCGCTGTCTTCAAGTTGCTCTGAAGCAACATGGACTTGGCGCGATACAGGTGCAGCCGAAAGCGGAACTCCGTCACGTCCCACTGGTTCTTCTTCTGCATCTCCGTCTCGACTACATTGCCATTGGCATCGCGCTGCACCAGATGATCAGGTGGTTGCTGCACCGTATTGAACCGATGCGGCTTCTCCAAGAATGCCAAGATGCTCTGCGCCTTCTTGCTCGTTGCAGCGCGCTCTCTTTCTGTGCTCACACACCCCCTGCTGCTGTGTAAAATGACGTCCAGGTACAGGAAACTAGCGTGCATCGCCACATTCTCATCGATGGGGTCCACGTTGCGCATCACTGCTTCGAGCACCGAGCTTGCCTGTGCGTACTGCTTGGACAGGAACAAGGCCGCCGCGTAGTTGTACCGCAAGTAGGCCATTTCTCGCTCAATGGAGAACGACCCGCTGTCCTCGGCAGCAAGACCAACACCAACAGCAGCGTCTCCTCCATTCACCGCATCATTGCCAGCAACAGCAGCTGTAGCAGTAGCTAGAGCTGGTTTCTTGTCATTTTCCTGCAATTGGGTACGCAGGATCTGCTGGAGTGCGAGCTGCATCTTGCCGGGCGTGTCCAGCCCCGCTGCGAACCGGGCGAGCGCCACATTGTGACGCACCTTAAAGTCCTGACGCGGGTCAATCTCCTCCACGAGCTTCTCGAGTGCATCCACAGCTTCTTCGTACTTGCCTGCGCTATAGTGCAGTAAGCATGGACCATACCACAAGCACAAGCCGATCAGTCAGTCCGTCAGGTCAAAAACGCACAATGGTCAAAAAGACACAGCGGTCAAAATTGCACTTCAAGACGCACTTGAACTTCTGCTGGGCGCGATGGCTCAGCGACGACTTGTTGTCCTTAGCACGCACGTCGCCTGACATCGGTGGCGGGCCGATCGACTACGGTCAGCTGAACACGCTTTCTTGACGATTTCTGCCACTCGAACTTGTCTGGTTCTGCTCGTTTTTGACAAACACGTCAAAAATGTTCAGCTTTGCCTCGCGGCGGCGACAGTGCTCGCTACGGATCGACGAGCAGTGCGATCGACAGCGCAGACGCAACACGTTGAGACGGAGCGGTTGCAGTGCTTGTTACGACCGTGGAGGCGGAGCAGGACCACGAGCGATCGAGCGGCTGGAGCCAACGTGGGGTGCTGTGTTCTTATTTGCGCTTGTCGGATTTCGAGGGGTGGGAGGACAGAGGGGGACGAACGAATTAGGCGACGAATTAGGACATCAGCCAATGATCAAAAAGACGCAACGTGGGACGTTGGCCGCGGCGTGGGTGACCGCGTTTGACAAAACGTGCGTACGAGACGGATGAGCCTCATCATCAGCACCAGTCATCAGTCAGTCAGTCAGTCAGTCAGTCAGTCAACAACAACAACGGCTTGTCACAAATCCTTCGACGTGCTGCTACGTAGGCAACGTGAAAAGACGAGAGGGGATGCTACAAACGACGTGTTTATGCTATGCATGCACGCAACTTAGGCAAAGACATTTTGCTGCTCCTGGTCAATGGCCGTCTCCTCGTCCGTGGCTTCAAGCGCGCTAAAGTTCATAAAGTGCGTCTTTCGATGGACCTCGTGGTAGAACTCCTTGGGGTTGCCCAGCTTCACGTCGTACTTCATGCCCGTGTTGTGCTTGACGCCCATAAAGTTGTAATTCCACACGTCCTCGTCCGGGACCATGTAGAAGCCCAGGAACCGGTCGGACAAGAGCATCTGCACCTTTTCGTAGTGAGTCGGAACGAACCCCACGGGGTTCGCACCGCCGTCCTTGTTGTGGCGACCCCATTCGTAGCCAGCTGGCGTCAGCTTGTACGCCGTCAGTGAGCACGAACCAGGCGTGAAGCTGCACGTGATTATGATACTCTTCTCGCCATCCCACGACGTGTTCTCCGACATGATCTTCGAGTGGAAGGTCACGTCCTGCGGTGGTAAGCTTGGCAGCTCGTTCGGCTGTGTGTGAATCCAGCCAAGCGCCTCCATGCCTTCCAAGTACTCGTGGTCCGGCAAATGCAGCGGGATTGTCACGCTCTGGTGAGTACCGAGCTGTGGCGGCATCACGATACAGCGGATCTCCTTCACCTGCGGATTGTCTGGCGGGCTTACTCCATACATGAGACCACAGATCTGGGTCCGCAAGTCCGACACGGTGATAAACTTGTTGAGCACGTTTTTCGGCAGCACGTACGTAAACCCGGTCTCCTTGATGTCATCTGATGTCACGTAGATATGGTTCGTACGCAAATGCAGGTTCGTCGCCGAGATCGCACGCACGCGCCAGTCCGTCTTCGAAGCGAACGAGTGCTGCTCGTACTGACTCGTCGTGGTGACTACCATCTCATCGCCATGCTTGTTCACAGTCTTTGTTGTCACCGATGTGAGCTGGCTCTGCTCCCGCGCTTGTTGCTCAATCTCAGCAACCTGCTGCCGCTGTAGCGACGGTGCCGAAATCTCCATACCCAAGATGATGTCGCGGATCTCCGACTGCGTCAGTGAAGCAACATTCACATTGTTCTTCTTACCGTAGTCGCCCAGGATCAAATCCTTCAGCTGCACTTCCACCTTCAGCCACTGCTCGTCTGCGAGTGACGGCCAAATGTGGTGTGGCTGCGTTGTTGTTTCACCGTCAGGCCGTAGAATGATCTTCGTGCGATCGTTGCTTACGTGCAGCGCGCGTAGGATCAAGATCAGACGAGAGAATGCCGTGTACGATGTGATCGTGTTGAGCCAGTCGTCGTAGATGTTAAACAGAACCATTTGCGGCTCCGTTGCCTTCAGGATCAAATCGCCAAACTTCTCCACCTTCAAGCACGCTTGGAATGGCAGCTGCAGCTCACTGCCCTTGATGACAATGTTCGGGAAATCCAACAGATGCACCTCAAGCGGATCCAGCATACCCTTGCGCGTCACAATAATCTGCTTCGGCTGTTCTTCCACGGGCAGTGACCGAATCAGGGCTGCTACTTCTTCAGCAGTCTTCCACTTCGCCAGTTGTCCCAAGCGCTTCTGGCCCGCCCACACTGACGTGTGAATGATCTTCAAGAACAGTTGGCCGGTACGCGGGTTGAATATGAAGATGGCACCATTGATCGGCTTCGTCGTCAGATTGCCTTCGAACGTCTTGTGGATCGTCACGCGGTACACATTCGTGTCGTCAACAAACCAAATGATCTGATTCGAAAACAGCTCCCCATAGTTCTGACTTGATAGATACGGTTCCGTCGGCTCGGAAGAGTATAGTTGCAAGCCTTTGCGAATACGCTCGCGCAGCACATACAAAGCGGGGTTCGCTTTCATGATTTTGGCCATAGCCTGTTGCATCAGCGGCTTGCACCCGGGGAACCAATTCCCGTACCCACTGTAGAGGTTGTACGCCAGATCCACTGCGAGCAACACACCTGTCGGTGACGGATAAATTGTCATATTGTCCGTTGTGTAGTCCAAGAACTTGGCACGTGCGTATCGCTCGATGTCGTGCGAGTCAAAGTCGCCCCAGCGGAGCTGCACATCGATCCAGTACTTCGAACTCGTTGAGCCGTCATAACTGTCCTTCGTGTCATGCAACAACGTCGGCCGACCCATTTGCCACTTGTACGCAGCGAAAAGAAGAACGTCCGCGCAAGATGAGTTCATCTTGTACGACTTACGCGGGTGAATCGTTTCCTTCTGCACACTCTCGATCTCCAGCGCATCTAGCTCCTGGTCAAATACTGCACGCAACAAACAAGCAACCGACACAAGTATTAGCAACTGCGCGGACCAACAAGTAGCAAAACTGCCAGGTCGCTCAACATACCTTGAACTGCACAGCACACGTTCAGGGCAAGCAAACATTGACACACTATTAGCAACATCCAAAGCATGTCAACAAAACGCAATCACGTACCTAAATCCATGACCAGTGACTCGTGAATCTTCTGCCACAAATGGGCGCGAAAGATTTGGATAAGAGAGATCTTGAGAGTCGGGATTTTGCCGTGCATGAAGATACCCGTCAAATCCAGTTGGACCTGGAAACCTACATACACATTGGCGCGGTTGATCGTAGGAGACCACCACAGCGTGAATCGGCGGTTGGGAATCTGGTTCAAACCCGATCGCTGCGCGTTTGTCAGCTTCTTGTACTTCATACTCTCCTCGAACCCAGACGCCTTCTCCCAGAACAAGCCTTCCCATGTAGGGAAGTAGGTGCCCTTGAACAATGTGTGCTCAAGAATGCCTTCGACGCCACCCAGTGCCTGAATCATGTCGGTTCGGTAGTTGTTCAAGTTCCACAACTTACCATCGTGCCGTTGGTGGGTCCACCAAAACGGGTTCTGGCGCATCACCTGGTAACACTTGAAGCCCGTGCGTACGCGCCAACCCTTGTCGTATGCCAGCGTGTGGCGGTCCTTTTGGAACAATGTGTTGATACGCGGAATACCACGATCCCAAGAGTCTTCTAGATCCTCCAGTGTCAAGCGACGGTTCTGAGCATTGGCCTCTTGTCGCTTCAACGCGTATTCAGCCCACACGCGCTGCGAATCGATAAACTCAGACTCCCACGGCTGCAAGTAGCGGAACAAGTTCGGGATCAACTGATCCTCCTCGTGCGACATTCCGGACCGAAAATGCGTCACACCACCACCGTCGGTTTGCTTCGAGTAGCGAAGGTCAGATTGAGGAATCAGAACGTGACCCATCGATAACATACCTAGACCACCTAGCTCCTTCGGCGTGTAAAACACCACAGGAGGAAACCGGGACGGCATCTTTGAGTTCAACCCGATCTTGATGCGTGTCTGAATCTTGTTTTCACACTTGACCAAGAGGTCCAACAACTCTTGGGTCTGCACGACAGACTCGCGGTAGTACGTCATCAGTCCGATCAGGGCCGAATTCCACTTATTTGCAACCTTAGTGAACGTTGTGCTGCCAGAAGACATCAAGACCTGGCGAATCCGATTCTCGAACGACTGCAGCGACTCGTCGTCCACGCGGAGATACGCCTGAGCGGTGCGCTCCTTTGTGGTCTCATTTTGCAAGATCCATACGCCATCCTTGTGCGTGAACTCCGCGTCAACTGCACGCATCTTCGGCAGAATACGCACTTCGAACCCGCACATATTGAACAGCAAATTCGGGTTGTCTTTCGAGTACACGGACGCAAAGCTGTTGTCCCACTCAAACGTAGTCATTGAGCGCGGCAAACGATTCTTCATATCCCAGAATGTTGCCCGTCCGAGGTTCACGTCGTGTTTCATAAGCCTCATGCGTGCATCACGAGGCCAGCACTTCTTGTTGTTGTACCCAACCACATTTTCATTATTGGGGTCCGGGTGCTCCGTCAAGTACCGTTGAATCAAGTCCCGCGAGTCGTCGGCATCGAACCGGAACAGCACGTAAATCTTGTCGATGTACCGCGTGTACAAACGAATCGGGTGCCGGGTCTCCGACGCAGTGTCCTTGAACGACAGGTACTCATTCGGAAGCTCTGGTGGACCGGCGATCTCAGTCGCGCGAGTCAAACCCAGCAGCAGCAGATCCAAAATCAGGCCGTAGTACTGGAAGATAAACGATCCAAACTGTAATCCACGGATCAGGCCGTACGAGTTCGTGTGCATCATGTCCTTGTACGCAATAACAACGTTGTTTTTCGCCGTCATGTAGTCGGCGATATTGTGATCCAGAATCAGCCGCAGAAGCCTGTTCAACAAGGTCAAGTCGATCTTCTCGTACACCTTCTCGAGCTTCGACTCCAGCATTACCACACACTCTTCAGCGGAAGTGTCCCACACGTTGTGCAAGTTGTTCACTCCCTGGCACCACTTGTAAACGAGCAACGGGGGCGGCTCGGAGTCGCTGGGCTTGATCCAGCATGGGAAGAGGTGGCGCTTGTCAGCTTCGTACCACAAGTACTGGTCAAGGTACGCATCGGTGATCTTCTCCAGCGGTTCGATGTCGTTCACAGGAATCAAGTGACTGTACAGATCCATAAACTCGAGGTGGACTTCCTTGAAAGCACGCTGAGTGAGCAAATGCCGCTTGATGCGCGACAGCGCTTCGTGTGGATTGTCGTAAGCTTGCTCAATCAGACCCAGTTCTTCACGCTGCGTCTGGTTCAGCCGATTGTTGACAGAGTAGTTTTCCTTCAGTCGTTCCAACGCAAGGATGAGCAATTTCGTGTCGTGCTTGTACGACAACGGTGGGAACGGGATGGGGGCAAACTTTCGACTTTCCAGCCAGTGCACAGTGGTGGTGTACACCGCCACGGCTTCCTCAGCAGACACATACGGGCCATCCTTGAGGTAGTTGTGTTGACGTTCTTGCTCTGCCTTGAGCCACAGTCGCGTCAAGCGACCTAGATTTTTCTTGCAGACAGTTTTGTCGACAGTGGCACCACGTTTGATGCGCTCGCGGTTGTAGTGTGCTACGTTGGTCCACCAGTCAGCCTTGGACTTTACATATCGCAAGATCATGTTCTCGATGGGAGCAGGCAAACCAGGTACCTTCCACGGAATGTTTGCCTTCCAGCTTCTCACACAAACACCCAAGCAACATTAGAACACCAAAGCATATACACCATCACAGAGGTAAGCCAGAAGACCTACCAGCGCCAGGCTTCACTGAGGTGCGCCATGATTGCTCTGGACTTGTTCGCCTTCACACCTTCCGGCATCATATCCAGAATGTCGTGCATCACGGCTGCGCGAAGCTCCAAGTCGAAATGGCTTTCTACGCGCTGCTTCGTGACAGTCTTTGCAATACCCTTCGAGTGACGGCCTTCGAACTGACGCGCTAGCAAGTTCCCGAGCCAGCGCTCGAGCAACGGTACAATACCTCGTAGAAAGAATAACCAGACACGCCAGCCAGGTGCCCAAAAACCACATCCAGGTCCCTTGCCAACCGGTCCGGTGTTAAACCGGTAGTAGATCAAGTGCTTCAAGTCCTTGCACATACGGACCTGGCGCATGAGGCGGTACTTGTATCGGTACATACCCGTCAACTGCCCAACGTGCGCAAATATATACTGAAGTCCATCAGCAAGCTGGAACGCGTCAACGTTGCCCAATCGATACTGGACATGGGCATCGACGATCAGCTTCGTCAGACGGAGAATCTCTCGAGTCAGGTGGAACGCATTACCGAAGCGCGACTTCTTACGCTCCTTCGTCGTGAGCGTTTTGATCGGCTTCAGATTGAAGTTATAGTCCAAGTGCAGGTAGTTCAAGTTCTTGCGGTGGATCAGCAAGTTCAACATGTTGTAGCCCTGGCGGCACACTTGTAGACCAGCTTCGACCCAGTCCAACTCAGTGCTCTGGAAAAACTTCGTCGACTTGAGCGACTTGAACAGGTACTTCTTGTTGAGTGCTTTTGGAGGGCGGTGATGCAGTGAGTTCAGCACCCAGCACTTCAGTAGTTTCTGGTAGCTCACACGAACCTTCACGGGCTGTCCTTGCGGGCAGTGCTCCTGAAACCACTTGTTCACCAATGGTACATCGATGGCTCGACGAGTTCGACCGGTGCGCAGGTTGAACGGCCGCGGAGCCCAGTACAGAGCAATGCCATTAGCCGTTTCCGGAGTGTACAGCGGCTCATCCGTCAAAAGTGGGTCGAATCCCATAGGCAGCTGGAACTCGTCGTCGTCCTCATCGTCCCCGCCTTCCTCCACTTCCTCCACGCCGTCCTGTCTTCCAGAGCGGTTCACCCGAAAATGAGAGATCGGATTCACAATCGGATCGAAGTAGAACGCTGGCAAATCAGGATCTTCTGCCTTGATGTAGCACAGCACAGGAGTATGGTACGGTTGAATGTGCACGGACCGCGGTCGACTATTGTAGAGAAACGGGAATGCCACTTTGTACTCCGTGCGGATCTGGTGACGGATAATGATCTTGTTGATGTCGTTGAACTCGTTCCAGTCCTCGTCATCTTCGTCCAAGTCACGGTACAGCGGCTCGAACTTTGGGCCACCTGGAATCGCGACATTCAATGCTTTAGCGGTAAAGAACGACTTCTTGTCAAACAAATACTCGTAGTTCGGATCGACCAAGTCACTTATCAATTGGCCGGCAAGACGGTGCAAGTTGGCCATAATGGGCACGGGCAGCCGCCACTTGCGGTAGCTCGGCCCATTGACAAACTTCGAGTCCACGAGCGGTTTTGAGTCGTACAGCCACTCAATCACGGCTTCGTCGTCTTCCTCGTCGAGCTCCATTGTAATGCTCTCCGAGGGCTCAATGTCCAAGATATTGTCGCCATAGTCCAGCGGCGGCTCCTCGTCATCGAACGGCGGGAAGCGCATGCGCTTAAAGTGCCGTCGGTCGCGCTTCTCGCGTCGCATCATGATCCACATGGTCCCCCATTGAGCAATGTAAACCGGCTCAATGACCCACGGCACTTCGTTGACAAACGTAATCGCGCCCGTAATGTGGTACAGCACCTTGACGTCCTTCACTTGTTCCCATGGCATGGGCATGTTCTCCAGCAGCTTGAAAATCGCGTGCGGCACGTACTTGAGCGCGCCCAAGTACACGCGTTTGTCGTGGCGGAACTTCTTGCTGCTCATGTCGCCGTGGTCTTTAATGATCTTCCGCACGTGCTCGGGCGGCATATCGTCTTTCACCGACTCGACAAACCCAAACTTGCGCTTCTCGCCGTAGCGCTTCGCGTTCATTTTGTCCCAGCGGCGACTGCGCTCGTCCAACATCTTGCGCTTCTCTTCGGGCGACAGGAACAACACACGCTGCCCAAAGACTGGTGCAGCGGCGTCGGACGCGGTCGGGCGGCTGTGGCTCGAGCTGGACGTGGTCGCGGCGGCGCCAGTCAGGTCCACGTCTGGAGCTTCTCCTGGAGGCCCCATACGCCACTGTCACACACAGATAGAGAGAGAGAGAGAGAAAAGGAGAGCGGTCAACACAGATGGAGAGAGAGAGAGAGAGAGAGAGGGCGTTGACGTGCGTCGCCTTCTTCTTCTTCTGCTTCTTCTTACGTCGCTCAGCGGCCGACGGTCGTTTGTGTGGTGTTCGTTCGTGTGGCTGGTAGAGAGGGGGCTGGAGGACCTGTGTCAGTAGATCCTCGAGTATGCTGTTTGCGAGTGTTCGCGAGGTACTGAGAGAAGGGAACAGTGGCGCTGCAGCCGTTGCTGCGACAGTGACCGGGACGGTCTATGCACCGAAAGCCGCCGATCGCGAAGCTCTTTGCCGCTGGCTGCTGTACTGAGATAACGACAGCCAAAGCGCCCTTTGTGTTTTCAGCATCGGTGACAGCGACGGGCCTTATGGAGTCGCTCGGTGCATCGCGAGTCGGCCAAAAAGATGGCAAAAACGTCGTTGGAAATCGTAACGCTCCACTTCGGTGTTGATACGAAACAATGGCAGTGCCGTGTCGCTGTGAGCTGCAGGAGGACACTGCGGCATCGCATTCTGTGGACAGCGCTGAGCAGTTTAGTGTTGTAAGCAGACATGACGCAAATCGCAGGTCTCAAGACGCTTTGCGGTAGACACAGGAGCGCAGAGCTGCACTAGAAGCAGCAAAAGACGCACTAATGCAACAGTGTGGCGCTTGAAGGAAAAGCATAGCATAGTATAGCATACAAAGGTGCACGTGCTGGCTGCTCATGGCGATAGTGCGTGTGTTGCGGCGGTATCGCCGTGTCTGCTTCGCGACCGTAGATTGCTGCAGTGCTGCTGCACGACAGGTGCGGTGTATTGTTCGGCTCATTGTGGTGGCCTTCTTTGCTACTGGTGGTAGCTAATGGCAACAACAACTCTCGACGAAGAGCGACCGCCTGTGGACACGGAATAGGAAAAGGCACGAGCGGACACTTTAGCGTCGGACGCGGGCAAAAGAACTGGATGCACAATAAGCTTCAGACTGTAAGTGAAGCGGCGGACCGTCGATCATGGGGGGCGTATGCTAAGTACACCCTTGACGTGCAACGTGTGTAGCCATGTTCGAGACCCACGGGTCGACTATCATGAAGCAAGCGGCGATCAATCCATCAATCGGTCCATCACCGACGGAGGTGCACCTGGTGATACGGACGAAGATGTAGCCATCGTCCTGGCACGTGATGTGTAGCCATCGCTCGGGCCACTGATGTAGCCATGAACGCATTCGCGCTGCGCCATCAAAAAAAGAGTTCAGACGTCAGGACGAGGCGGAGGAGGCGGTGCATACAAACGCATAGACAAACGCGGTCTTCGCCGACCGACCGACCGACCGATCAGCTGATGCCGCGAGCGGTCTATTTCCCAAGTCGCACGTCGGCCACTTTCCCGTCCCTCGGCCGCTGCCTCTTGCGCCATCGTTCGACTTGACGCATGGGCGGGTGCGCGTCCAAGAGCGCCGCGAAGGACTGCGACGTGCGCAGCGCATCACGGGCCGTGCCGAGCGACGACGCCAGCGGCCGCCCGCGTCCACGTCGAGGCGAGAGCGGCGCAAAGGCCGCTGCAGCTGATACGGCCGCAGCGCATTACGTGCCGACCCGGTCGGCGCGCCAGCGGCCGCCGCCGTCGACGGTGGACTTCCCTGACTTTAAGGACAAGGAGAAGAACGTGGTCGAGACGATGCTCGAGAGCAACAAGGGGCTGCGGATGGCCGAGATCAATTTCAACGACCTGAAGCTGCAGAAGATCATTGGCGCCGGCGCGTTTGGCGAAGTGATCAAAGGCACGTACTGCGGCACGCCGGTCGTGGTCAAGCGCATGCTGCGGACGAAGATCACGGAGGACAATCTGCGCATGTTTGGCGACGAGATTCAGCTCATGATGAACTTGCGGCACCCGAACATTGTGCAGTTTATTGGCGCGAGCTGGAACTCGTACTCCAACATGTGGGTCTCGCGCAGCTGTCTGTCTGTCTGTCTATCTGTCTGTCTGTCTGGGGAGAGTGACGTGCAGAGTACGATGATGGTGCTGACTGGGGGCGATGCTGCTCTGCTGCTCTGCTGTTGCTATTGCTATTGCTATTGCTATTGTTACTGTTGTTTTGTTGTTGTCTTTGTTGTTGCTGGCGTGTGCAGTTGCTTTGTCACCGAGTTCTTGGAGAGAGGGGACCTGTTTGTGGTGCTGCGTAACGCAGAGAACAAGATGACGTGGGCCAAACCGATCTTGCGCATGACGATTGACACGTCGCGCGGGATGGCCTACCTGCACAGCATGAAGCCTCCCATCATCCATCGTGACCTCAAGAGCATGAACATTCTTGTCAGGTAATCAGACCCTCTGTCGCACTATCACGTTAGGCGGATGAGTAACGTTGTCGATGGTGCTGTGGTGTGTCGGTCGATTGATCGATCGATCGGTCGGTCGGTTGACAAACTGTAGTTCCACGTGGGGCGCCAAAGTGAGCGACTTCGGTCTAAGCCGCGAAAAGTCCGTCGACGAAACTATGAGCGTGACAGGGACACCGCTGTGGCTACCGCCCGAGATGATCCGCGGAGAGCGCTACACGGAGAAAGCAGATGTCTACAGTTTCGGTATCGGTACGTGAAACAAAGCGCTAGAGAACGGTTCTGGACGGCGTCAGTTTGCTCACATCCGACGATATGCAGTGTTGGCAGAGCTGGACACGCGCAAAATCCCGTACCACGACATCAAAGCGAAAGGTGCTCGTAACAAGAAGGTGTCGGGCAGCACGTTGATGCACATGGTGGCATACGACAACCTTCGCCCGTCGCTGAGCAAGAACTGCATGAACAGCGTGCGTGATTTGTACGAGCGCTGCACTTCGGACGACCAGTCAATGCGTCCTACTTTCGAGGAGATTGTGCAGTTTCTCGAGAACGACGTGCGCAAAGAGACGCTCGTACGCGCGGTACGTGTTTGTTTGTCTGTTTTTGTCCGGCGTGTGGTGTTCTAGTACAATCGCGCATCGATCGAAGCCTGATGACGTTCTCTCTCTCTCGTCTGTACTTGTGTCTGTCGGGTTGCACAGAACGAGGAGCTGAACGTAAGTGAGGAAGACCAAAGCGGATCGGATGTCTCTCCCGAGGAGCTCGGCGTCCATCACGCCACACGCTACGTGGATTGAATCGAGTGAAGAGTGCAATGAACTCGAAAACGGGGGGGGAGACTCGACGACGATGAGGCTACGCTGCGTCTCACGATATGCTCCTCCGCACCAAATGAAGCCTGGACCAGGATCACTATGAAGTCGTTGCTGCTAGCTACGAAGCAGGATTGTTTGCGGTCGACGTGGTGTTGCCATTATTGATATGGATTGTTGCCATTATTGATATGGATTGTTGCCATTTATTGACGTTGGCTGAAGCCACTATTGACATGTATTGTTGCCGTTATTGATATTAGCTCTTGTCACTCCCGTCTGTTTGCTCTGTCCCCGCATACTAACCGAATCAGAGCGATCGCAAGTCACTGAATCAGCTCTATGTCTTGTGAAATCGTCAAGCACTACTTCCTATCAAGTTCGACAAGCGCATCAAAAGAAGCAGTCTATCCGTTCTCGAGACGATCTCGCCCCCTCATTCGCCCGCAAACCTGCTGCATGCGGCTATCTCTCTCTATCTCTCTATCTATCTCTCTATCTATCTATCTATCTATCTATCTATCTATCTATCTATCTATCTATCTATCTATCTATCTATCTATCTATCTATCTCCTGCCACGCGTCACTTCCCTACTCAACTCAAGTCACTCGGCCTCCGCCCCCTTCCCCACTCGTCTGTCATTTGCCAATCCGACAGCGACCGGGGACAGCCTTCAGCAAACCCAACCGAATGGGCGTCTTACCACTCGCGCTCTACTCCGCGGCACTGGCGCTCGGCGTCGCCACAGCGGGCGACGTGGCGGTCCTAACGCCCGACAACTTTGACGACGTCGTCGACGGCTCGAAGCACGTGCTCGTCAAGTTCTACGCGCCCTGGTGCGGCCACTGCAAGAGCCTCGCGCCGACGTACGAGACGGTCGCGACGGCCTTTGCCAAGACGGCCGACGTGGTGTTGGCCGACGTGGACGCCGACAACTACAAGGAACTGGGCGCCAAGTTTGGCGTCACGGGCTTTCCCACGCTCAAGTACTTTGCCAAGGGCTCGACCGAAGCCGAAGCTTACGAAGGCGGCCGCACGGAAGACGCCCTCGTGGCGTTCTTGAACGGCAAAGCCGCGACGAACGTGCAGGTGGCGCGCGCCCCGAGCCACGTGGCGGCGTTGACGGACGCGGACTTTGACGCGCGCGTGATCCACGCGCCGAACCACGCGCTGGTCGAGTTCTACGCGCCGTGGTGCGGTCACTGCAAGAGCCTCGCGCCCGTGTACGAAGAGGTGGGCGCGGTGTTTGAAGGCGAAGACGACGTGCTCATTGCCAAAGTGGACGCGACGGCCAACCCCGAGCTCGCCAAGCGCTACAACGTCAAGGGGTACCCGACGCTGTTTTACTTCCCGCCCGGGGCCGACGAGCCCGAAGACTACTCGAACGGCCGGGACAAGGCCTCGTTCGTCGAGTTTATCAATGACCAGGCGGGGACGCACCGCACCGAGGACGGCAGTCTTGCTACTGCTGCTGGTCGCGTGGAACAGATCGAGGTGGCCATCACTGAGAGCGGCGACATTACGGCCGAAGTGGTGGCGAAGACGCAGGCGATCGTAGACGGCCTGGAAGGCCGCGACGCCAAACACGGCGCGCTGTACCTGAAGGCCATCAAGAAGATTGTCGCCAAGGGCCCGTCGTACGTGGACGCGGAGATCAAGCGCCTTGAGGGGCTGCTGAGCAACGACAATGTGACGGCGCAGAAGAAGACGCTCTTTGGGCTGCGCAAGAACATCCTCGCGTTTTTCCACGAGAAGCAGAACGAGAAGACGGAACTGTAAGCGGGTGGGGGACGTGCGATTTGCCAGGCGTACCTGTAGCATGAGTAGCTAGCAGCTGTGTGTTTGCTTATCCTCGTAGGGTAGCGCCCGAATGTCGACGTGTTCTCCTCGTGCCATGACGCTTCACTTGAGCCGTTCGATGCCGATCCGGGGGGGCTCTTCGTCTCGCTCGGTCCGTGCAATCCCCGTCTCAATAGCATCTTCGTTCCTCCATGCTGCCTAGTCCAGCGTATCCATCCACCCACTGCTGCACTCCCTACCAATCTATCACCCGCCTCTGCCGATGCCTGCCGTCACCTTGCTTCCTGTCTGTACCTTCTTACACTGGTAATGCACGCAGCACAAGCGATTTGTGACGCGCACGTTCAAGATGTGGACATTGCAGCATTATGTACGTTTATGCCGATGCCATTTCCGACAGCGTGCTGCGCAGCTTATCAGCAAAATTGTGGCAGTCCACGACGATGCCCTTCTCGAACGAACAGCTGGGGACGCGTACGCCTCCCAAAGAACTCTGCATCCTCACCGACTGATTCTAGCGGAAACAAAACGTAAGCAAAGCAATTCGGATGACATCAACCGTTTGAACAGCAACGCGTACCTCCAGGAAATAAATATCTACGGCGCAGCGGTCTCCATAGGACAGGCGAACCTGTGTTTGCGACCGCGGGATCATCACTAACTCGGCAGGTACAAAGGACTTGTCGTCGCCACCATACGACTTCTCAGCATAGTATCCCTTCTCTTCACCAGGGAGCTTGAACTTGTAGCCCAGCTTCATTCCCTTACCACCCATTCTGCCTCGAGCAAAAGCCTTTGGGCCGCCATTTGCTACGTCTTCCTTCGCATCGGGCACAGGATCTTGCCGGTAATATTTGGCGCAAAGTAGCTGGGACTCGACGACGCTTGCCAGAATACCCATCGGAATGCACGTGCGCTCCAGTGCTTCTACAAACTGCGATGGGTCACTGTGTCCATTCAGCGCTGACTGGATGAAGTGCATCAGTGGATGCTCGGCTTTGTGGCTGTAGTTGACAACGAAGCCCATTTTCTGCTTGAACTGCACTGCTGCACGATATGTCGTCATGCCGTCCGGCGATGACCCGGCAGCAACACAATGCCTCGGGTTTGGTGCTCGGCATGCCAGCACAATGCCAAATGGGTCAGCACTCTCTACGTAAAAGTGCCCGTCGCTTTTGATGTCATTAGTATAGCGACCTACAGCGGTCAGCATTTTCTCCAACTTCACAGCAAGTTCGCAAAGCGGCCGCACGACACAGATGAGCTCAACCATGAACATCTCCAGCGGATTCTCGCTGAACACGTCACTAGCTACCAACGTCGTCGGGTACTTGAAAATCAGCTGGCCTCGTGCGTTAACATAGTGCGAGCGATCGGATAACAAATGCGTCTTTGGCCTCTTCGGAAGAATAAACTTGAACGGCACGGAGGCCAGCTGAAGACACAGCTCGAATCCCCCGCTGTGTTTCAGGTGGCCTTGGATAGCTACAATCGTTAGTGGATCCGTGTTGACCTTTTCTGGGAATGAAAGTGTAACGACTTGGCCACCTGTGCCCTCTCCGCTCATCGTACCAGCCTCGCCTGAGTAACGGATCCGTGACTTGCGCCGTCGAGCGAAGTTCACAAAGTGCTGCAACTGAATCCTCTCACTGCACATATTGATCGCGTGCAGCAACACCGACGCAATATGGGGGATGACGTTACGCGAGACTACGTGACCCTCGGCATTGTCCAGCCAGTATCCGCTTTTCTTTTGTACTCGTCCACTCTCGAGAAGCATCCTTTTCGCCGAGCGTTCACTTTGTTCAGCCAAAGCGTTGTTGACATACAAACCGTAATAACGCTTTCGAGTGTTTCCACACAGACCATTCACAACAATCTCGTTGCAGCGTGTGACCGATGGGTGCAAATCTTCTTTCTTAAACGCTCCGAATCGCTGGATGAACTGCACACCAGCAGGCTGACCCGGCAAGCCTGCACTCGTCTGGAGCAACGAAAAACATGGTAATCGCACGTACTCTTCTACTTCTGTAGCTTCGTGCACACTTCCGTTCATCCCATCCACTTCGCCGTACTTATCAATTTCAATCACCAAATAACATGTAGACTCCTTGGACGACGTCAACAAAAAATACAAAGCTGTGTCTGAGATGGTTAGATCTTCAGTTTGTCCACCTTGCTGCTGTCGAAAAGCAAGGTACCGCTCCCAGTTCAAATTGACACTCCGCAATACTTCGATACCCTTGAATGTTGAGCCAATTTGGGCAATCTCGTCAGCCACTATCTCGCACAAGACCTTACGAACACTCGCGTGTATCATCTCGTTCGACTTGTCGCCTTTTCCATCACCAGAGACCAAAGCAAAATCGCTTGGAAACGATTTGACAACGTTACCTCCGAGCTCCATTTTACACTGCGTATCCAGTATTCGCTCCAATTGTTTCACCGAGGTATAGAGACTGGCGTGTTTCGCCGCAGCAACCGAGCTCACGATAAACCGACCCTCGCGAATGTCAAACGTTATCTCTAAGAACTGCTGCAGTCCGCCAATGTCTGCCCGCGCGATCCGCAAACTCGTGTCGGAACAGACCATAGCAACCTTTTCTCCCGTGACCAGTTGCGTGGAAGCCGTCTCGTCTGGAGAATCGACTACAAGTAGTCTGCCTATTGAGAAAAGAGCCGCCGAGACATGGGCACGCATGGCCGCAATCAGCAGATTTTCGGCACTGAGCAGAAACATATTGGATGGTACCTCCAACGCGCTCAATAATGCTGCATACCCAGGTAGGTTCGGTGGAAGCGATGGACTAAGACTAACAGAGAGGAGCTTCTTCTTGTTTGGATCGAAACTCAATCGAACACACAAGCTGGATTCGGAATACGGCAGCGTAAAACCCTTTCGAGCCGTCGCCAACGGTTCACTCAACTGTTGGATCAGTCGCTGCTGCTCGGTCAGTGTCTGCGTCTCTCTCCGCGTACAAGCCTTGGGCCAGTAACACATGTCCAACACATTCTGGTCACGATGGTGTGTAATCATGATGCGATTCTTCCAGCGACCTTCCATCAGCAGTTTGCCCTGTAAAGCAAGAATCTGCAATGCAAGTGACGAGCAAAACTCGCGCATCACCACAAACGCGTCCACAAACGGCTTCTCAGACTTGTTCATCGCTCGTTGCACAAGGTTCTTCAAATGATTGTAGTGTGATGCGCTTGGCGCATTCGTGCGAATAATGCGCAGAGCGCTCGTGGACGCTGCTCGAGCGTGATCGCCAAAAGCCCGTGGATCAGTGAGCGCCGTGTTCACGCTGATCACGCGCCACTTGGCATCGTTCTCCTTGCCCTGAAGCGTCAACACAATCTCAAACTCTCCTTGCGCTTGGCAGATGACAAACCCTCCTTCGAGTGTAATGTTCGAGACCTGTTCTGGGATCTCGGCTTCAATCAGCCGGAACCGGATCAAGTCCGTCACTTCCATAGCCGCCTGTTCAATATCCACTTCAGGTACTTCACGAGGGAACATGGCGTTCTTGATTATCGTTGGCAGCCGTAAGTAGCTGCCGCCATAGAGCACGTCGACAGCCGTACTGAGGTCATACCGTCGCTCCTTGGCGCGGTTGAGATCTGCGTGCATAAAGAACAGCCGGTCGTTGGTCTCGTTCACATGATTGCGGTAGGCGCTCGTGTGCTGCAGCAACGAGTCGCACTGGTGCAGGAGCGGCGATTGCACCGACCACTTGAGCACTGCGAGCAGTTGCGCAAAGCGTTTGCGTGCGCTCTGGAGGTGCGCCAGCAATGGCTCCCGTCGCTCGTCTTCGCGCATTGTCGGCAGATGGAACATGAGCGACCGAAAGTCTTCGTAGCTCTTGTCGACCGCGCGGTGGACGAGTTCAGACGCTTTGATGCTCGTTCGCTCGAGCGGCGGTGCGTCGCCCATCGCCCTTTGTACACTGACGCGAGCGCAATGTCTTGTGCTGCAATAGAGGCAGCGGTCGAATGCGTGTCAGACGGTCTCTCGATCCGACAATAGCTTAGAGCGCAGAGGTCCGTCTGTCTGTCTGTGAATCTGTCTGTCTGTGTATCTGTCTGTCACGTCACGAGGGTCTGTAGGTGCAACAAATAACGAACAGGTGGACACAGCGCAGTGGGATTCGGCGGCACTGGCGCTTCGCGTACTCCTGTGCAGCGCTAGGAACGAGACGACAACGACAAAAGCGCTCCCCCCTCTCAGTCAGTCAGTCTCTCAGTCTCTCTCCTCCGCCCTGGGAAGCAATTTCACAAGTGGTGTGAAACAAATCGAAATGTTGGTGTCCGTCGGATTTGATTACCTGTGAAATACGATGCGCGTAGTCGTAGCGCGAGCAGGTCGGCGACGCGCTGGACTGTTAGAGATAATAGATAGAGAGATACAATGCAAACGTTGTAAAAGTAACGATTGCAACAAACTCGAACTTGTCAACGATTTTGACTGAAAATTGGATCTGGTGGAGTCACTTTGTGTCGTGATGACAGGCGCCACTTACGTTAACACAAATCAGTACATACCGGGTACACCGCCGCCGACATGACCCACTTGACGTCTCTCTATCGATCGCGTGACTCCGTGTGCTCGCAACAGATCCTTTTACCCCGCGCAACACCTTTTCATGTCTTACTTGATTGCCTTCGACTCGACAATGAGTTTGCCTTCCAGCTCGTATTTTGTAGCACCAGTAGGTGGAAATACGGGCTTTCGTCTAATCATTTGCCTCCGACATTCTCACACGTGCAGCGCTCGATGCCTGAGCCATCCTCAAGCTTGTGCTTTGCTGAGATCGCCATGGAACAGCCAGCAGCCAGTGATGATGAATTTCGTGTCCGCACTTCTGCTCACATCCATCGCACCGAAAGGGTTTGCCCCTTGCACATTACTTCCGCGCACATCAGAAAGTCGTCCACGGCGTTGCATGTCATCGACATCTTTGTCATTTTACTGTAGCACTTGGATCGCTGCGGCTTTCCGTGCCTGCCCACATTCTCCTGGAACCACGTCATGGCGTCTACCACGTGCGTTGCGCTCGAGTGCTACGGTCGAAAGTCATTATCGACGCCTTTGCACCTTTCGACACAACTAGTAGCTGCTTCACTTTCATAGACTTTCGGTAGCTCCTCATTTGGGCAGCCATCTCGTTCTTCGGGGATCTTTCTCCCTCCCTTCCTCTTGGCCGAGTTGTCACCCTCAGCATCAGTGACGCGTCAACCAGCAACGGCGTGGAACTAAGACTGGTTCCATGATAGTTGGAAACCAACGGTCACAGCCAAAAGGTAAATGCAGAATCCCTTATCAAACACGGAGATGAACGGATGCACAAGAGATGACGCAACGACAATGTCGACGAGCGTGACCTTCTCGTCAGCTCAAGTACGTGCGCAAATGCAAATGAGTCTATAGGGTCTGAGGAGCGTTCTTCACATTCACCTCGGCCTTATTCGAAGCAGTCCTCTCAGCAGTGCTCCAGAATTGCTGAAGGTAAGTGAGACTTCAGATGGCTCTTCAAGCCCTTCGAACACAGGAGTCGGCTCATCATTTACGTGGATGTATGTCGCCTCGTTACACAGAGTGATGTTATGAGCCGACGTGGTATCGAGCATGACTCTATCGAGTACGCATGCACTTTGGTGATCTGCAAAAGCGATTGACGATGAGCATAATATAGGGACTAGACTTAGCTGTCTAAAGCTAGGAGCATTTTGCGAGGACCAGACTGCTTTTGTGCTCTTGCAAAAATAGATGAAACCGAACTTAGCCATGCTGTCTTAGCCGTCATGAAAGTGGCCTATTTTTGACAAAGGCACTGTGCGACCTACAAAGATAAATACAGTCACCATTATATTGTTTTGTGCTCGTTAGAGACTGATCCAGAAATGACAGCAGGCCAGGCGGTTCGAATTGTCGAAAACGACACGTGGGCCGTTGCTGGTCTTGCCAAAAGCATCGATACCAACAGAATACAAGTTGGACCACTTGACTTAGGTCTACGGACGTGTACTGGTACAGATCAACTTCAATAAGTTGTGTTTATAGGGCAATGCTTGGCCTCAAAGTCTAGCTCACTAAGTTTGCGCATTCCAGGACTCAGCTGACAATAAAAAATGCAGCAGCGAGCCCTGCGAAGGATCATAGAGCACGGCACAATACACTTCAGCTTTTATACCATAGCATCCCGCGGTCGCCCAATATCGAGTTTGTTTCTGTTCCGTATTAAACGCTTTTCACATATTAATCCAGCGCAAAGCGTACCGCAAAAGATCCGACCAAAGCGACATACAAGCCGAAAGCCGGACTTACACTAAACTGTACGTCGCAGCTCCCTATAAGCTAGCGTCGATAGATCGCTGTTGCACCTCGCAAGGTCAGCAATATATAGTGGCATTAAAACAGACCTCACAAAATTATGCATAAGCTGAAAATAGGTATGCATATGCATAATTTAAGGACCGCGACGTGCATAAACTAAGAATTTTTTGGTGGTGCGCCGTTCCGCGCCGAGTCCGCCGACCACCCACGTTCTGCTCATTTAGCTGACTTAACCCGCCACCCGAGCCCATTCCGATGCCACCGCGCACCACTCCATTCCAATCCAAGCACTGCCTGGAGTTCGGTCTCGAGATTGTCTCCCGGGATACATACGGCAACCCGACGGTGCGGTGCAACTTCTGCGCTTTCGAGGGCCGTGGCCAGGTGACGGTCAACGAGGGAGGAACCCGGAAGCGCAAAAGCCGCGACGACATTGAGTATTTTACGAAGCCGTTCGCGCCCTTAAACTACCGAAGTCACCTCAACGGGAAGCACAAGGAATCATGGGAGGCGTACCAGCAGTGCTCGACGTCAGCGAAGATGGCGTACTTCAAAGACAAGTTCCAAAGCGCCAACACACTGCACATCCACACGGACCTGACCAGTGACACGATCGCGTACACGATCAAGGCGCCCATCGTTCAGACGATCATCGGAGAGCTGTTCTTCAACACCGAAGCGATCGAGGCGCACAGCGACGACGAAGCGGAAGAGGACGTGGCGTCAGCAGCGTTCCACAGAATCGCCAAGCTAGCCAAGCAGAAGCAACACGCCATGTTGTTGTTTAAGCCGGCAGATCTAGCAGCGGAGGGGGCGGCGTCGTACACGGTGACGATCAAGAATCCGATGCGATACCATTTAGTGATTGATCATGTTGGTGCAGGGATTTTGGTTCAGCAGACGGCTCTCGCAATCGGACTCGCCAAAAACCGGGCCCAACTGCCAAATCTGGCCGGCATCAATGACCTCATAGTCGGCAAGTTTGTCCGGGTGCAAGTCGCAGTTGCGCTGCAACGTATTGCCGACATGATCAGCAACGACGACCAGGTCTGGGCGTTCGCTTTGGCCGGTGACGTCAGCACACACCGCGGACATTCATTCTTCGACTTACGCCTGCGCTTGTACTGGCACGGCCGGCTTCTCAACCTGCATCGGGTCGCGCTCCCCATGTTCGACCGCCACACCGCCGAGAACATGTTCAACATGATTGCCAAGCTCATGGACGCGCTCTTCCCGAATTGGCGGGCCAAGTTGATCGGCGTGTCGAGCGACGGCGAGAATGCGATGACCGGGTGCCACCGCGGCCTCGTCACGAGGCTAATGTCGGCCGCCGAGTACAATGTTCTGCGCGTCTGGTGCGCTCCCCACCAGATCGACATCATTGCCAAGCAGAGTGCCGACGGAATCGACGGCGGGGCGTAAAAAAGTTTGTCTATTCCTAAACCGTCTAACTGCGCGCTCAGAACAATCTGATCATCGAAATGGGCGTTAAGTGCCCCAAAAAGAAGAACCGCTGGGTGTATCTCGGAAACGTGCTTGAATGTTAAAGGAGAACCGGCGTAGGCTGATGGCATTCACCGAGGAGAATCACGCCGGGATGATGCCGACTGACTCGTGGTGGACCGTGACCTAAGCTATCACGCCGGCCATTAACGCGACCAACATTACATTTGCCCTGCTGCAGAACCGGTCTCTGCTGCTGGCGCAGCAAGAGGCCCACATCATGGTGCTTGTCGCCACGATCAAAACCATGTTCGAACTCAAAATCATTGATCAGGACGATGCCGACGCGGAGAAGGACGACCATTCGTGCGGTTCAAGACAATGCGTGTCCGGACCGACCACCTCATCACCCTGATCGAGGACGAGAGATCAATGGCCCGCGATTGCTTGCTGCGCTTAGATGAGGCCGAGAAGACTGTCGTCCTGAAGCAGATCGTGGCCTATGCGGAGACGCTGGTGATCGACCTGCAAGCCATGAGGGCAGAGCGCGACGAGAACAACTTGCCGCGGGAGCTCGTGTCGCCACCAGTTCTACCTGATGAGCTGATCGGACTTCGGCCGGCCTACGTCATTTGCGATGTGCTGGACCCGCACCGTGAGCGTATTCTACGCTACTGGTCTGCTGAGGACATCGACCAGATCGAGGAGGATCATCGCCAGCTGGTCGCCGCCTACAAGAACGGTCCCATCCTGCGCTGTGCCATCGACGGGCACTACGTCAAGACAACCTTTGACGACGACTGGGATGTGACGCCTGGCAAATATCTGCGACTTCGCACGTTTTGCGGTGGACTGGCGACCGTCTTTCCGATCACGACTTCGGTCGAATCATACTTTATATTCTGAAATGGGAGGCGGACTCGAACATGAAGGACCTGATGCATCTTTCGCTTGAAGAAATTTCCAAGTGAAGCAGTGCGCTTTGCTGCAGTAAACTGCTTCAAAACTAGCTATGCATAAACTAACACCGGTGGCGTGCATAAATTAACTTAGTTCATGTAGTTTATGCATATGCATAATTTTAGGAGGCCTGCATTAAACGCTACACAGGTCACTTATGAGTGACTAGGCTTCATTATGCAATTGAGCATATCTTTAATGGCTTAGCTTGGATATTCACACCACCAAACACAAAAGATCAAGTCATTCGTCTACTCTCAAGGCAGGACTAACCGGTGCATTCTGCGACGAGACGTTACAACTCGTGGTACGTGTCGCTGTCGATTTCATCCATTGCTGCACGTCATTTTGCAGATGTTGAGCCTGTATCGATGACAGCGACCGGTCCTGCGCACACGTCTACTGCGACTTCCGCGAGACCATTTCTGCGTTCACGTCCCTGTCCGCCATCTTGCTGTAAGCATGTTAGTACCGCGTACAGCTACATATACCCACCCGTCCACACACCACCTTGCGTTCAGGGAAAGTTGTCGAATTCGGATGTGGCGTGGCGATCGATTCTGCCGCATTCTCTGGTTCACCATGGCACTGTCCTTCACCACATCAAGTGGGGATAGTGCTCTATACTTTTCGCGACGAAGACCATGGATAAGCCCCCAGTATTCCGCTTGGCTGTTCGTCGTGTTTGACTGAGCGTACGACATAATCACCACCCAGATAATCTCTGCCGCGTGAGTGTCCCTGTACACGCGCACCATTACCTAATCGAACCCTCCTGATCCCGGATAGCCACGTAAGCAGCCGTCTGAAAAATAATCAGATACTGGCTTCGAGTGCTGACTTGTAGTATGAGTACGAGTATCCCGATTCGTTCCGGGAATCGCGCAGCAAGCGCCTGCCACGTCCCTCTTCGGAGTAGATTGCACATCCGTGTCTTACTCGTACGCCAGTGACACGAAGTTGTGAAACGCGTTGTCAATCGTAGCGTTAACCACTGCGCATTGGGTATTCTGTGCAGCTTTGTTTGTACCGGACCCGCAATACGCACACCATATGAAGTGCATCGTCGCCGCCGACGCCCGGGTGTCGGAGACGACCAAACTGAAACATGACCTCATTATGATTTCCGTCACGTTGTCACCAATGCTGGAGTGTAAATGGGTCATCCCGCTGGCAAGAAAGGTGTGGACAAGACCGATCGCTATGGACGAAGTTCCACAAGTTGATCTTATTCACTGGTATATGCGGTAAAGCGTTTGCACCGTGGTAAACCCCGCTCCCGTCACTACGCGTATGGTAGTCTATCGGCCCTGCACTAACGCGCGGTGCATGTTGCTTTTGTTAGAGGCTTGTACAGCGATCGCTCGATCTCGGTTGAAAGATGCAAAGCTGCTGCTGTTTTGTACCTCTTCCATTGTTGCTTCCAACCCTCCTCTGTGTGTAGCTGCAAGAGGCGCGAAAGTGCCGAGTGTTCGTTAAAACATAAGATCTCTGCTGCATGCGTCCGCTCTACCACGTCGCTTGTAGTCAGCACGCGACTAGGCTGGGATATGTGGGCATCAAAACGTCATATCAGAAGATGAAGCCGTTTGCGCTGTACGTAGGGCGCCACGAAAGATACATCGACGCGCCTGCGTCAATCGTTTGCAGCTGCGTCTATCTGTGCGGCCAAAGAAAATGATCTGAAAGATTGCTTACCATTGCCTTGCACAGCTCCAATACCGCCCGTCTCACCGTTGGGTAAGGAGCCGCCTTCGCTCAAACTTGACTGCGCCAATCCCCGTCGATGTCGAGCTGAGAAGGTCACGAAGCATTCTCCACTTGTTTCTACGCCGCAGAAGGATGATGGTAACGGGTATCTTTGTCCTGTAGATCAGTCATTGCCGCGAGTTTGCCTCCACGAAGTCAAGCCACTCGTGCCAGCACGTTCCACGCAAGCTCCTTCTCTCGGACGACAGCTGTCTAAGTGCAATCACCGCGTCGCCATCGGCAACAACATGCAAGCTATCGACATACCAGTGTGCAGCGTCATGATGTCGTCGAAGCAGCGACTCTGTCAAGGCCATAAATCCGGCTCTCACAGTGTCGACTGGTTCGCAGTGCACGCCACACACTACTTCCGCTCGGTCGTCCACATGGTATCCGCGACATTGAGTCCCCCCACAGTCGAGTCACATCGCGCCAGAGTCAGGTAAACATCGACCCCCGCTCGCCTGCCAGCAGTATGTTTAGGAAAGAGACCTGCAACGCAGAGAGGAAATGAAACAGTGAATATATATTAGCGTTGTTAGTCCGGTTGATACCTACTGCTTGAAGGTCTTTCCGTGATTTCTGAAGAGTCGTCCTTGTATCTCACAAAGCTTCGCATGTATCCCAACAGTCTTTCCTGTCCGCGAAAGGGTTCATTGCATGTGCCTCTTCCATTGAGACGCACCACACAACTTCAACACAGGATGTCATGTGACTTCCAACACTCCTCTCGTCTCAGTGAATCAGCACGAAACCGATCGCGTCGCACAATCTTTGAAGTCGGGTTGCTGGGAGAGGCTTCGTCGTTAAATCAGCAACCATAGCTTTCGTGTCTGCAAACTCCATCTTCATCTTGACTTTTTCAGCGTAGCCGCTAAAAATTTAAGGTTGATGTCAACATGTTTCCCGTCTGCAGACGCTGCCTCGTTGTCAATTTGTTGGATTGCTGCTTTGTTGTCGATGCACAAAACGATAGGTGTCTTGACTTGCATGTCTATTTCTAGCATAAGTTCCTTGACCCCCAATATATCAACGCCACCAGCCGCAGCAGACACAAACTCGGCTTCTGCAGTCGATAAAGCCACTGCTGTCTGTTTGCGGCAGTACCACCCAGCAATTAAACCATTGACAAACTGAATGGCAGTGCTTATAGACTTTCGATCGTCCACATCTACCGCAAAGTCTGCGTCAGTATATGACACAAGTCAAAGAGGGAACTTCGGACCGTCGTCGTGCTTCATGTGCAAATTTGTCAAGCGCGTACCACTGACGTACCGGGCAACGCGCTTCGCAATCTTCCAATCACCAAGAGTCGGCGCGTGGAAACGCCGAGTAATCTTGTGGACTGCATACGCAATGTCCGGACGCGTGCAGTGCGTGATCCATAATAGGCTACCAGCCAGCAATTGAACTCTTTGATGGTCGCTTTCTTTGGGAGTGTGGTGCATTTTGCTGGTAGCAACGTCTGGTCCTCCGATTTGAAAGGTTCTGTAACACCAATAGGAACACGAACACCATTCAAATAAGAGAGAACGTGCTTGTCGAGCATCTGAACAATTGTTTGTTCTTGATCAACCTTGACGCTCCCATCATCGCAATGGAGAAAATGCATACCCAGGAACTTAGAAATTGCGCCAAGGTCTTACAGCTCAAGCACGTGCATATCCACAAAAAACGATCCACCACATCGGTCGTTGTACCCGTAACGATAAGATCGTCCACGTACACGCCCAATGGCACCTTCTCATTCCCATCTACTTTGTAGAAGACGTAATAGTCAGTGATGCATTGTTCAAAACCAATGTTGACCAGTGTGGACACTATTTACTCGTTCCAAAGACGCCCAGACTGCTTTAGTCCATAAATGCCGCGTTCCAGTTCCAACGCAAGATCTTTGACGCTGTCAACACCACATTTCTTAAGTGTTGCATCGGAAATGAGCATACAGGGCGGAATATGAAGTAGAATCTTATAGTCTTCTTCGAGTGATGCCTTAACATAAGCACTGGGAACGTCGCCATGTCTTGCTAGTACGCGCCATTTAATCGAGAATATGACGATGATGCAAATACTGACCATCGAGATGACAGCCGAGAACGTTAACATGTAACTTTCGCCCTTGATCTGTAAATCACCGCGACCCACAAGTCTTGCCTTCATTTTGTCGATGTCACCATTTCCAAGTCGTTTTGTCTTGTAAACCCACTTGGTTGGTAGTGGTCTGGCACTTTGAGGACGGACGACGATGTTCCAAGTCTTGTTTGTTGCCAGCAAATGCAATTCTTCCTGCTCAGCGGCCTTCCACAACTCATTCTTCACTCTACGTCGTGCTTGGCCATAAGTTAGCGGGTCGGGCTCATCGACCGGGAGCTTATTCTTGGTTGCTGTAGGCAATACCGCAAATGCCAATAGGGACGGTGTTTCTTGGCCAAGTGATGAAGCGGAAAGTATCGGCGATTTAACATTTGATGACTTCAGACACTTTTGTGCGTTTAAGTCATCGTAACCGTCAGCTTCTTTCTGCCTTCGGGACTTCTTTTTCACCCTGGTAGATCTGCGCACACCTTTCGACAAGAGTTGCGGGGTATTTGACGTAATCTTGTTGTGATTCGTCTTGTTCGCTTGTGTAACCTCCTCCCGCGTCGCGTCATATTGCTGTTGAGCAGTTCGGGAACGAGACGTCGCGATAGATACCAGATCAGCGTCGTCCTCGCATAGAAGTGCATCGGCGATGAGCTTGTTGGTAGAATCATCAAGCGTCTCGATGTCCGTGACATTACGCGTTGTGACAATCGAACGGTCATCACGGAGTAACACCTTGTAACCCTTGGTCCCTTCATCCTTGCCCAGCATATATATGCTGACTTTGTGGGCTTTGAGACTCTTTTTAAAAGGGTCGCTTCAAATCTGACAAGCTGATCCAAACACAACGATGTCCTGTAGTCTAAGAACTTTGCCAGTGAGAACCTCCAGCGAAAAGCTCGCTTGGCGTTGACACGCGTGGGACTTCGATTTAAAATGAAGATTGCGTACTCTGCAGCGTCGCTTCAATGAGTAAGTGGTACATTGGATATAAAGAGCATCCACCGGACCATATTAAAATTTTTGCGATTTATTCTTTCCGCCTTACCATTAAACTGAGGCGTACCAGCTTCAGTTGTCTGCCGTTTGATTCCAGATTGCTTACAGAAAAAATTCACGATACAGTATCGTACTCACCGCCGCCATCTGTGCGCAGAACGCGCACGCGACAGTCAAACTCGGTTTCAAATCATGAAGCAAAGTCTCGAAACTTGGCCGCCGCTTAATTCTTGTGTGTCGCTGAAAAAACTCGAACGAAATTGGACTTGTAGTCAACTAACGTAACTAAGTATTTGTTCCGATGCCTGTCGTGTGGCGTGATGGGGCCCTTGAGGTCGCTGTAGATAACTCCTCCGATCCTGTCAATCGGGAGTGTTGTCCTGAGTTTTGCTGCGGTTGAGCAGTACGAGTGCCTTTACCTTGAGAACAGGTGACGCATTTGGAGCGCTTGTGGCAGGTGATATTAATGCTCGAATCTGGTTCCTTAGCCATGCGCTCGATAGAGTCGAACGAAAGATGGCCTAGACGCGCGTGAAATTGCATGAGCGTGCCCGTATATGGGTGAGGAGCTCCTTCAGCTTCGTTAATGGCAGTACGTACCATCTCTTGGAGCAATTCTTTAGTCATGGGCTTCCTGTCGCGCAGTAAAGTAGTGACCATTCACACGTCTTTCATTAACCGAAATATAAATACAACTTGACCGTCCTTCTCGATTCTCCCACCGTTAGTAGCACAGTCGACGAACTGGCAACCAAGTTTTTTCAGGCGACCGTATGATATGAGACGTAGATCCTTGTAAAGAGATGGCGCGTAGTAGACGTCAGAGAGAGTGACCTTGTGAACTTCATCATCGACTTCTGTATCAAATGTGACTTTGCCAATTTTAGTCACGAGAAGTGTTTCAACATTTGGGAGTGTAAGTCCATCTTGATCATCGCGTTCAACAGCATCGTGGAGCAGCGATTCATCTCCCACGAGGTGTCGACTAGCACCAGAGTCCATGACCCAACTGCTCTGTAGTTCGGAGCCAATGTCAGCGCATGCTTTTGCAGCTTTATTGAGGCTGACCACGACCAAGAAACAATTCTTTTGCTTTGTTGATTTAATATGATTCCCTCCATGTGTGAGATGATTGGGCTGGTCTCGCTTGTTGTGTCCAGTCGCGCCACGCAATATAATCGTCCGCGACTCACCAACTGCTGCAACGAAATCGCCACAGAGATACTTTGCCTTCTTCTGGTCATCGTCAAGCCCTTGGGCCCACGCAATTAATTCTTGTGCGTGTGCGACATAGCCGTGGCGATCTGGGTCAAGCCTAATTAACATCATATGTTTGGTTTTGGGAGCTGCATGCTTGACAATGTTGTCGACAATTCTGCGCTCACTCGATCCACTGAACCGATCAAGATGTACTAGGTACAAAAGATGTTGAGGCCACGTACAGGACGGGTCCTTCTGCTCCATGAAAAGGGCCGATGCTTGCTCATAAATCATCTTCACTTTGAAGATCTTGTACATTTCTTCGAGTATGAACTCCAAATGTGGGGCAATAGCCCACCAAGTTACCACATTTTGACGAAAGTAATCCGAAGCAGTCGATTTTTTCTTCAAGTACTCTCCCAACTTGTTCACCTTGACACGCTCCGCCCAACGATATCCAGTGAACATTTCCGCCATCTCAAGCGCTTCCAGAACGAAAATGTCGATTCGCGAAAACCGTTACTCAACCTGACGTACAGCTCTTTACCAGTAAATCTTTGGGTAATTAGCTTTGACGTCTTAGTTTCCGGAACGGCAATCCAGGCAGCACCGAATTGTGCTAACCACGCTGAAATTGTTCGTCATCTATCCCTGGATGTGGCTGATGCGGCTGTGAGACTTGATGTCTGGCTGCCTGTGCGTGTAAGTTACCGTGAGCGAAATTATTTACACCGGCAGGTGCACGTTGTCCTTGATGCAGATCTTGTAGCGTCAAGCGAGACGATCCGAGCAATCCACCCTGCTGGGCAACTTCCCGAATTCCGCTGGCACTTGGACGATGCGATGGTGGGTTCAGAACGATTTGGACGGGAGATTGATCATCGCTTGAGCTCATGACTGGACTTGACGAAATATGGCGCTTCAATCCGTCGAGCCTTGCGCTCATCTTTTGAAGTAACGCAAGGAAAGTCACGTCTTCGTACTTCTTGGGCTCGGGGGTTGACTGATTCGTTTCTATCGCTCTCCTTTCGTGAGAGCGTAAGTAGTCGTATCTGTGTACGTTTGTTACACTGCTGACAAGTTTGCAGGTTTTGGGCTCATAACCTGTAGTAAAGAGACCTGCAACGCAGAGAGGAAATGAAACAGTGAATATATATTAGCGTTGTTAGTCCGGTTGATACCTACTGGTTGAAGGTCTTTCCGTGATTTCTGAAGAGTCGTCCTTGTATCTCACAAAGCTTCGCATGTATCCCAACAGTCTTTCCTGTCCACGAAAGGGTTCATTGCATGTGCCTCTTCCATTGAGACGCACCACACAACTTCAACACAGGCTGTCATGTGGCTTCCAACAGTATGTACTATCGATAGGAGCCGCGCTATTCGCACCTGCTGACCACGTGCCTACTGCAGTTAGGCCATCGACAGCAAGACCGTTGCGACGTGCGGCATAGCGAAATCTCCATCGCACACAGGTAGCCCGACTGTGCGACACTCATACATGCTCGTACTAGCGCGCATCTTTGCGATCCCCAGACGAAACACTTAACTAGCCGCTAAAGAGAAGACACAATTGCACGTGACGGCTAAGAATGCCGTGCGAGAAATGTGACTTTAGAAATGAATATCGCCGCTACCAGCGCAGATCGGATTCAGATCTTGTGCGTCTTCCTTCGTGCTAACGCTAGACACGAGTTCAGCGCTAAACCACACGCATCTCAGTTGTCCTTAACCGTGATGTTATCTTCAAAAATCATCTATAGATTTTGGGACCGCTCGCCAGCGCGTAGCAGTCGAACTCCTTGCAGGATCTCCGGATCAATATCTGAAGTATTACGAGACGAAAACTCTACCGATATTTAAGAGTTCTTCAACAAACAGCCCAGAAGCCGCTACAAACCGCGATAGATCTGTCATAGTGTCTGCAACTTATTAAGGAGAACTTCCGTAACATGCAGTGTTGCTGGCAAGCCCACAGACCTTTCCCCTCTTGACCTTCATCACCGCCAACAAGTTAGAAAGCCAGACACCCTGCATCGTGATCTAAAGCAGTTCCTATAGCGTTTTATTGCCAACATGAAAAGCAGAGGTGCCAGAGGAAATCCCTGATGAATGATAAATATGACTTCTATCGACTCAGACTGGAAACATTTACAAATATTGGTCTCCTTGTGCGGGTGTGTAGTGCTGCAAAATTACTTATGCAATTTCCGTGGAAGCCGTATCTCCGCAACGCAACGATGAGGAAGCCACTTGACAGCAAATCATGCGCCTTTGTAGAGTTCAGAACTAGCACTAGCGCGCGTCGGAGTTCTAGGTCTTCTATGGCACACAACTTCGCAACAGCGAGTAAGTCAAAGATCTTAGACATCTCGCGTCGCGGTACGAAACCGGTCTGTAGAAGATGCACAAGTTTCGACAGCATTGTTGGGATTCGCGACACACTCACTCGCGTGAAAATTTGGAAATCGGAGTTGCGGAGGACAATCGAGCGCAGTCTAAAGGACGTGATGCACCTTTCGAGTCGTGATGCATGTCACCACTGCTTCGCCATATGTGCGAGGCAGGACGCTGCCGAACTTGTATACGGTGAACAGGTATCCATTAAACGTACACGCTTTCGTCAAGAAGTACGACTCCACATCGGCACGAATTACACAGCGCAACGCATCATTAATAATTATAGGGAAACGTTAACCACCCCCACCCCTATATATTACCGTAATTTGTATACTTTCCATGTTTATGCTTGCCACGGCTTGCGCCCCCATCTGGATGGACAAGACCACCAATATGAGTTAGATTCATCACTGTATCCGTGAGTGGAAAAGTACTCGACAAGAACCTTGTTTATCGGTATGCAACGATTAACAGATGTTTCCATAAAAAAACGGTCGTGTCGCAAGCAGCGGAGCTTGTAGCGCTCAGCGAGTCATCCTCGTTGATGCCGGTGATCATTGCTGTCATGTCGATCGTCTTGGACCAGTCCCTTGACTGCATTGTGCACAACGGCGAGGAGGAGTGGGCGTCAATACTACGGTCGATCTCCATTCAAATCGAAATGAAGTCAATTGTAGTGCCCAGCGGATACAGACTGCTTATTCGGGAAATTTTATCAAAGAAAGGTCAGTCTGGCTCTTTTCAGACGCCAAGTCGAGCCACTACCATCATCAAATTACACGTTAGTCTAATTAGTTAATTGAACAGGTATTACGACGATTGATGTACCTCTTGATAGACCTCTGCGGCTGGCTTCAAGTCGATTTTGAATATAATATTGTCCGATGCCTTTGTCACAGTGCACATGCAGGATAATCGATACAAGCCCAACCTGTTCCAGACTCGCTCGTATTAAAGTCTCATTTGACCGAGCATTACTCAGTCAAATGAAGTAGCTGAATAATAATTTTTCACACGACGCCGAATCAACGACATGCATCGATTGTTCAGATTTGGTATTTTATCATTTGTAAATGTATTGTAAATTACTTCTTATACCGGTAATTACCTCGATCCTACCATCAAAAGGCGTAATATGAGTAAGTTACGGTAATATATAGGGATGAATTAGTTAACGAAAACCTGGGTAGTGGTTAACGCTTCCCTAAAGATACTGTAATAGAATGTAATAAATATAAAATGCGACCCTTCATTCGATTTGCACACCTACACTCTACAAATGACCACAATTTAAGACTTTACTAGCGCACGACGTTTTGTATATAGCTCGAATTATGTTAAGGTCCACGATGATGTGTAGGTGCCTTCACGACTACAGAAAAAGCGAAAGCAACACAAGGTTGATGCACTCGCGCGATAGAGTGAGAAAATTGTGGTAAAGTGTTTAAGCGATATAAGACAGGATGATCGATCGGGCTCCAGCTAAGTACGAGTCAGCGAACGATTGGTAGAAATGCTCGCATAGTCTCATTGCATCAGTTTAACGGGCGAAGATATTAAAAAATAGGACAGTCGTTCTCGATTCGATAAACGGCGAAGTACGAGGACGAGGAATATTCTATTCCATACTCGTCCACGAATACGATCGCGATAAGGTACGCGATCATGGTCATTGGAGCGATCGATACCAAAGGTGCGATCGCAAGCCTTCCAGTTTGTACCACACGAAGCGGTCGCAATCATGATGAGAGATTATTATTCAGTGCGCGATCACGATTGGGATCGCAATCGCGACCATGTGGTGTTTACTCCACCACGCGATCGCGATCTAGATAGAGATCGGGATATGAGTGAAGACCGCGATCAAGGAAGCAATCGCAAACAGGTGGGTGTATACTGCACCATGAAACAGCGATATGGATAGAGATCGCGATATGGATGCGATCGCGATCGGGTGGTTGTGTAATACAACACTCGATCTGCGATTTAAACGGAGATCGCGATCAGGTGGATGTGTACCACATCACGCGATCTAATATCTGGATATAGATCGCGATCAATAACGCGATTTCAATAAGGTGAATGTATATCACACCTCTCGAGCTGCGCCTCGTGAGTAGAAGAGTACATGAAGTGGGCCACCTCGTGAAAGAGGACGACAGCAAGCCCGGAGCCCTTGGTAAGCAAAGTGTTAGATCTGGGTTAATTAATTAAACATTAAACAGAGATTATTACTTAATTCCTTCTACTCAAAACGCGTGGCTACCTCTACCGGCAGGAACTCATTTTGGCCTATCGACAATGGTTAATGACACGCATCTCTAACAAGAAAGCATTTCGATCACTTGGCCTTTCGTCTACGCGCGACGTGGCTTGTTTTCCGGCCAGAAACGCATATTGGCATCCCGATGTTTCATGGCTGCCACGCGTTCAAGCCGTATCAGTCCCTGAATCGTCTGGCTAAAAATGAGCATTCAATCTGATTTATGTGCTCGATTACGTATCAATACATATGACATGTATCAATTTGAGCAAGAGCCACGGCACCTTTACGGTCCAGGCAGGAACGTACCTAACCCAGTGGCCGAGTAATTAAGCACTGAAACTGGGACAGGGAGGTACCTGGATTAATACCCTTGAAGGAAGATTATATCATTGGGTCCAGAGATAGGTCAATATGTCTTCGAGCAACCATCCAATGAGATGGCCGCCCTGCCGACCCGCATCCTGGGTGTGTATTAGATGGTCGGGCTGGAAGCCCCAATAGTCCGAAAAGCCATACCGTGTGTTGAGTTGTGGTTCCTCTAAGGAGTACGAGCCCAGTATTCTCTCAGAGTACCCCGGGTACTCTGAAGGAATCCGCTGACTAAATATCTTTTAAGGCAAGAACGTATATTGTACTCCTGATGCTCAAGGCAGAAACACCGCGCGTTTCCCAAGATGAATTAATTCCTGGATACTATGGCATATAATTCTTTAGTATGCTAGAAATAATGTTACGGTAACAGAAGAAATAAAGATCTTAATTTACTTTAATTTACGCGTCATCTCTTCCAATCTGGATCTTTGGC